TTGTTTATAATATTAAATTTTCGGCGTTCTGCGCAGTGGCGGTGATCATAGTTGTTTATAGATGTTAAAAATCTCGCTAGATTCCGTCGAGAACATAGCCTAAAAGGCGACACCTTCTCGGACGAAACGGTCAAAGAAACGAATTGAACGCACGCTCAAATGAATCCAAATATATAGCATTATTTACTCATGTTATTCGACTTTCTATCTGTTGTTTTGTGTTGTTCAGATGAAAGAACCTCCAGAGAGTCCCTCCACGAAGTGTGAAGGTAAACTGCATCATATTTCCTTGCTCTGGCTTGAAACTGAAACGGATGTGTTGTGTTGTGTGTTGAGTAACTGGACAGATCGGCTAGCGGACAGGGCGGTCATACTACTGTTAGCCGGTGTCATGCGCGATTAGGGTTTCAGGGGTTAGGTGTTAGGGCTTAGGGTTGGATTCAAGGTTGGGTGAGGTTAATCTAAGGTTAGGTTAGGGTAAAATTAAAATCTCAAGTATGCAAATGTACTTGTACCATGGTTTGTAGTTCCATAACTCGCCGCTAGGGTGAACGCGCATCGAACATACGGGAAGACGCCCCGTCTTCTAGCCCTAAATGTAACCTGACTGCACCAGCGCACAGCTAGCTGCGAGTACTAATAGCTCTCGCGATCCCTGCCGCAGGGCCTAAGCACATTCTGCCATAGATGTAATGCTAAGCAACATGGTCCCTTATGTGCACCAACGAACTTTATCAACCCAAAACGTAAAAATGATCGGGTGCTTTTCTTAACACTTATCTATCAACATGGACATCTCACCTATCTTTTTGAACACTTCCACAACTTTACACCAGGTATTTATGCTGTTATTCCTCAAAGTCTTAGCACTACTGGTGTTTTGTTTTCAAATGCGGATGCTCTGCTTATGTGTGCACGCGTGACTCTTCAGTGCTAAGACTTTAATAATTTAAACGTGGCGCAACGATTGAAACGGGGGGGGGGGAGTTTTCCCAAACGGGTCCGGCTTGCCGGGGAAATAATCACTTCATAAAAATATAATGTGTGTACTATATATAAATTTAGGAAGGGACTATTCGCACTTATAGTTATAATTAAGTAGGGCCAGTGCTGAATTTTTCCCTTGGCCACACTTATTTTGATTACGTGCGAATAATGCTGAATTTTTCCCTTCGCCACACGTTGCGTATGTCGTTATACACCATAGATTAATTTTAATAGGGTAATCGTAAAAAGGACTCGGGATGACCAATTTGGGGGGTCAAGGGTCAAAGGTCAAGATGTGTCAATGGAGGGGGAATACTTTCCCCTTAACTTAAGGTATAGGAGGAAATACGGAATTGCGGCACAAGTCTGAACGGCTCGACCTATGCTCTTAATATTTGGTGTATAGTGTGATTGGCAGGAAACCCATCACCAGTGCGAAATTGGAGGTCAAGGGGCAGTGGGGGAAAGGTCAGATATCAGACATTTTCTGAGGACATGGCCTAATGGACAGAGTGAAAAACTTTTTTGTTTCAGCGCTGACCTACCATTTTTTATCACTTTATTGAAAGGACCATGACATGTGCTTTCCACTGACGTGTGAAGAGTAAGTGTCTGATAACCTTTTGACCCTCAAGAAGAGGGTTAAACATGGATTTGTTGACTGTTAACCCTTCTAGAGGCAGAGCGACATTAATGTCGCCTCCCGTAGAATGGGCAGAATGACATAAATGTCGTTTTTTACCAAAACCATTTCTAACAGCCTCTCTGATTGGCTAAAGCCTAGATTTCAATGTTTAGTTGGTCTGGTTATCACGAGAGGGCTGTGATGTTTACGAAACGGCACACTTTAGGCTGATTGACATGTATGTAGTGCGGGGCTAAGATTGTCGTAGACATCTTTAAGCGAGAAACAAACACTTGAGTTTAGCTGTAGTGAGACTTTAATATAAATCATGGCGGCAGCAACGACAACAACCACGACAACTGCGCATGCGCGCTACATCTATAATGATCATGACGGAAATCGGCAATGCGGAAACGGAAACGGTACATATTTATCATTCCTCCCCCCTTAGGTTGAAACTTGCAGTTACAGCATATGGACAAAAAAATAGATATTTAACCTGGAAAAAAAAAAAATATATATTTTACGGAATCTTCATATAGAAAAATGCAAACAAAAAATCACCCAAGGGGTAATATTTCCAGGAAATGTCACTGGATCATATGCAACTTCGTAGAAAAATGCACAATAAAGTCACTAATGTCATGAGTTATGGGAATTTTCGCAGTGACCATACTGTCATTATACGGTTCACATTCGTGTTACATGGACAGCGCCTGGCATGCACCCAAAACAAAACTACAACTACCGCGTAAATGTTGGGCAGCGCACGGCGTGCACCCTAAACGAGACACACAGCTTATAGGTTTAACCGGTCAGGCGGCGCCTATTAACGCGGTACTAGATCTTCGCACAGTGGGGGCTTGCGCCGGTCTCGGGGAGTCGCGAACCGTTGTTGCCTCTCCTGGTGATACTATGCTCCGGGTCAACAACAGGCGGGCTATCGACTGCTGGGGTACTACTGAGTGTCGGGGCGTGCAGTGCCCGATGCATACGACGGTTGTTCGCAATTATTCTTCTACAAGTGCATTCGTCATCGTCGCGGATCGGGCGGTGTCCAGGTGATTCGCAGCGTGGACGTCTTCCACAGTCGACCAATAACTGGCAACCTCACGTGACAGTCAGGGGAACACCATCTGTCCTTCTAGACCCCAGCCAACCACTTCGGCGTTCCTGAAAATGCACGGCCAGCCGGCAAACGCTATCGCATCGGCGGGAAGCACGCGCGTGACTCGAGTGGCGGATGTGCGTCTGGCAACGTTCCTATCCTGTCGCTTCAAAACACTGCTCTCTAGCGACGGACGGATCATGTCCCTAATCGTGAACGTTGGATCGGAGTCTGGAAAATGAGGACTCGCGGGGCTCTCACCAGTCGTGGATCTGTGGGTGACGCGGAGTGTAGCCCGAAACAGGACAATCCGATCTTCCAGTTCGCGTGGTTTTCTCCAACCCCTGCCTCACATGTCTCTACAGCACGCATCTCCAGACCATTTAGCTACCAGGATCGATATGTGACACGGTAGCTATGTCTGACACCATTCTTTGCCAATTCTCGCAGAACGCGCACTAAACTCTCTTCACTATAAAGCAATGAGCCATGTCCGTAGACAAGCGTGTTGGGGCTAACCAGGAAAAATCACGAAAGCTGTCGCATATTGGTGATCGTGACATGCTGGTTGTCGCGAGTGTACACATGCGCGCGATGATCTTGCTGTGTGCATCAACCAAGGATCAGATCATCTTGGCGCGCTCGAACGTCCATAGCGTAATAACGACATGTACGCAGTGCCAGGCGCGACGCCGCCACTCCAGGGGAGCGGTGGGCGTAGGGGCAAACTTGTTGTGTATTTCTGACACATATCTCATCAATCCCTGACACAGTTCTCAACATCCTGATCGACTCCCGGCCACCGCATAGAAACTGCGGCGAGGCCTTCAATCCTCACGATGCGCGATGTGCTAGGTGCACGTCGCGTAGCAATGCACGCGACCCTTGGAGGATCACTACTCCCATGGCTCCCAACAACAACATCCTTGCTCTAAAGCGATAATCTGCCATAACGTCGGGTGTAGACGGGCGAAGCTCCATCAGGTGCCTGTTCGGTGTGCAAACCCGACTTCCAGTGCAGCCTTGACTCGGGCTAACAGGATCCCTCACAGTCCACTGCGGCAACCGAACTGGGCTGGCAGTTAATCGGGCGACTCATCTAAGGTTTGAAACACTAAGACTACTTCCTCTGGAACGGGTACCGGAGCCGGTGCGGCTGGTAGAGGGAGACGACTGAGTCCGTCAGCGTGGCTGATCTGATTTCCCGGCTGGTACTCAAGCCGGTACTCGTAATTACTCAGCGTAAGGGCCCAGCGCTGGATCCCTAGCACTGGCCATCGGAGAGATTACGCGGGTCTTCCTTCAGCAGACCTAACAGGGGTTTGTGGTCTGTTTGCACAACAAAAGAACGTCCGAACAGGTATTTATGGAACTTTGTGATGCCAAACACAAGAGCTAAACCTTCACGGTCGATATGGGCATAGTTCTTCTCGGCCGCTGTCAGAGTTCTGGACGCGAACGCGACAGGTCGGACACTTCCGTCAGACATCTTGTGTGATAAACACTCCCACCCATATGAGACGCGTCACTCGTCACGATGATGGGACGAGCTGGGTCGAAGTGGACCAGCAGTTGAGACGATATGATGAGCTCTTTCGACTGTTCAAAAACCCTCGCGCTGGCCGAGTGGATCCCACAGCTCCACTCTGGCACTATTGAGTCTCTTTCAGGAGGCACTCGTGTAGGGGAGCGAGTAACGATGAGAGGTTCCGTAGAAATGGTGATAGAAGTGAATGAGACCGAGTAACTTCGGAGTTCGGTGGCATCTGCGGGCACTGAGCCTCACGATCGCTTTTACCTTCTCTGCGGTGGGGTGTATGCCTTCACTATCTATCACATGACCAAGGTATGTCACTGACTTCTTGTAGAATTCACACTTCTCTTTCTTCAAAACGCACGCCAGCCTCTTGTAGCCGGCTCATCACTGTGTGCAAATTCGCTCATGCTCCTGTGCCGTCTTCCCGTGACCAAGACATCATCAAGGTAAACGACTGTCATCGGTATTCCTTGTAGGAGTTGTTCCATGGTACGCTGAAAATACCAGGAGCAGAGGAAACACCAAAACAAAGACGCTGTAGCGATAGAGTCCTTGTGTGTGTTTATAGTCGACAAAGCTTGGGAATCATCATCTAGACGATTTGTGATACGCGTGGCTGAGATCGAGCTTACTGTAGATCTGTCCACCTGAGAGTTGGGCATATAAGTCACTAATGTTCGGGATAGGGTATTGGTCCACTTCACTGCCTGATTTATTGTCACTTTATAATCACCACAGATCCGATACTTCATCGACTTCAAAAATCGGCACCATGGGCGCAGCCCACTCAGAGAACTCTACCGGTTCTATCACGTGGCTCGTTGAAGCGGTCGAGCTCCGCTCGACTTTGGCGCGAAAAGCAAGCGGCACGGGGCGCGCCTTGCAATACACAGGACGGACGGATTCATCCACGTAAAACTTCGCGGTGACACCTTTAATCGTACCGACTCCGTCCTCGAACAGCGACTGGTATGGTGACAAAAAATCCTTCGGGGTATCCTGCGAGATATCCAGTTTGTGGACACGGGTCCAATCGAGACGGATCGCCTCAAGCCAGTCACGGCCGAGCAGATTGGGACCCTCACCAGGCACGACTAACGCAGAGAGTTGACGCTCACATTGCTCGGTCCGCGGCACACTTCGAACATGACACATGACGCAAGGCTGGCAACAATGCACCGGTGTCGCTCCGAATACGTGCGTAGCTTCGGGAGATCATTGGATTTGAGTTTCAGACGCGGTACGCGCTGGCGTGAAAGACAACAAAGAAACAAAAGCCAACAAAATCCAACAGCTACCCACGAGCGTCACTGGAAATCAACGTTTGAGGCGCCGGTGTCCGATCACCAATCTTGACGGAACACTTCCACTCAAATCTCACACACATAAGGATTACACGCTCGCCTCGAGACAAGTCGGTGTGTACATCACCAGGGTGTACTGCAAACATCAACTACTAAACGGTGCACCACACACTCATGGGGGGAAGCGCCTAGCCCCACATAATCGCCTACTGTCGAGCTGTCCGCTCTATTCACACATTCGGCCATAGGTTTTGCTGTGACATTTATAGCACTACACGACTGCCAGACGCGGCAATTGCCACGTCACGCGACCAGCGGCCGCCTCCACATATCACTAGATGACACTGGAGTGAATGCGAAACGCTGTGGACTGCCGACTCTGATGGTGTGACTGCGGCTGGTTCCGGGTGGGCGTGTTGTGCTGCTGCGGGCGCTGTGCGAGCCCTCTGCCTCTCCTGGTGGTGAAACTCGCGGCGACGGTTGGGTGTCGAACTCCATCGACAAGTCTCATCACATTACACAGCAGCCGCCGGAGCCGTAGCGATGCCTGCGAATGATCGCCGTGTTGACTCAAACCGTCTCGAGTATGACCACTAGTTGAG